ATAATTAATAATTAATAATAATTAATACTAACAACAATAATATTATATATTAATCATAATTAATAATAATATTAATTAATAATAATTAATAATAGTAGTACTTAATAATAATTAATAATTAATAATTAATAATTAATAATAATAATAATTAATATAATATAATATATATACATATATATATATATACATATATATATATATATATTTTGAATAACTAAGCACAGCTATTATACGTACACTTGAGCCGAACTTCTTCTTCCCCGTGTGCATGTCTGCATGCAGCCCCAGCTCTACAGAAGCCTGCTGCCCAGAAGAAACAAAGAGAAGTTTTATAAAACTCTGCTGTCCACCTTAACTCTCTTAAAGTATGCGCAAACTTGCACCGGTGAGACGCCCTGCATATATTTCAATACACAAAACAAATATATATATATATATATATATTATATATAGAATATATATATGCACATATATAATATATATTTATATACGTGTATATATACATATATATTTATATATATTTATATATTATATATATATGTGTGTGTGTATATTACAATTATATATTTACTTATTTATAATATACATATATACATATATACATATATGTTGTTATTAGTAAATTATATATTTGTGTGCACATATATAATATATATTACGTATATATATGTATTATATATATTATATATTATACATTATATATATATTATATATATATATTATTTACATAATAAAGAAGTGAAGCAAAGAAATTAATTTAAAAGGCAGAGAAATCGGGCGGAGATAAAAAAATATTAAAATTAATAAACAAAAATAAATAAATAAATATAAATTAATAAATATAAATATAAATAAAGAGAGTAATAAAACAAAAGAAGAAGGACAATAAAAAAAGAAGAGACGAAGCGGAGTTAAAACAAAAATAAATAAATAAACAATAGATAAATAATAAACGGGCAAACAAAAACAAATAAATAAATAATAAGCAACCAATCAAGAAACAAATAAACAAACAAACAAATAAACAAACAAACAAATAAACAAACAAACAAATAAACAAACAAACAAACAAATAAATAAATAAATAAATAAATAAATGACAATCCACCCTAAACAATAAACAGAAAGGAATATAGTAATAATTAAACAATAATAAATAATAATAAATAATAATAAATAATAATAAATAAATAATAAGTAATAACAATAGACATAAAAACAAAGAAGACAGAGAAGTAATAATATGCTCAACAACAATAAACAACAAACAAAAAGCAAAAACAACAAAAAACAACAAAGAAAACGCTAAACCCTAAACCCTAAACCCTAAACCCTAAACCCTAAACCCTAAACCCTAAACCCTAAACCCTTACAGTCTGCATAGGCCGCTCTTATATAAATGACACATTCGGGTTTTAAAGAGAGGGTTTGCTGAGGGGGTGCCCTGCAGCCCTTGAGAGGAACGCACGTTTACTCGTGCGCGAGATCGCACCTGCTGCTGCAACTGCTGCTGCTGCTGCTGCTGTTGCTGCTGCTGCTGCTGCTGCTGTTGCTGCGCATGCTGCGGCTCCTGCTGCTGCGGTTGGTCCCGCATGGGCTTCTGGTTTTGCTGCTGTCTCTGCAGCGTTGGCTGTTGCTGCTGCTGCTGCTGCGGCTGTTGCTGCTGCTGCTGCTGCTGCTGGATCGTAGTCTCCTCCCCAAGGAGGCCCTGACTGCTGCTTGCAGTCTTAACCCGTTCTTTACTTCCTGGAGCCCCCCGTTGCGTTGCTGCTGCTGTTGCTGCTGCAGCAGCTGCTGCTGCAGCTGCTGCTTCTTTGTGCAGCAGCCAGCGCCCGCCTCTACAGCAGGCGAGCTCGCTGGGGGCCCCCCCCCCTCCTGGGGGCCCCCCGCCGTTTTTGTGCATATACACCCTAGGGGGCCTCCTAACATCTTCTATATCACCGCTATCCCCTAGACAACCGACTAAACCCTCTCCTCTATCAACACTACAATAGAGGGGCCCCAGGGGGCCCCCCCTCCCCAGACAGCTCTCAGAACGACAAGCAAGGGGGCCCCTACGAGATGATGAAGAGGGGCCCCCTACTACTGTACCCTTCTTCTCAACTGGGGGCCCCACACTATCCTCCACTATACCCTCCAACTGAACCCCCTCTAGGGGCCCCTCCCCAGGGGGCCCCTCCCCTGGGGGCCCCTCTAGGGGCCCCTCTCCTGGGGGCCCCTCTGGGGCCCCCTCCCCTGGGGGCCCCTCTAGGGGCCCCCCAGTTGGGGGCCCCTCCTCAAGGACCCCTTCTAGGGGGCCCCCTTCTTCAGGACCCTCTAAAAGAACCTCCCCTGAGGGCCCCTCAGGGGGCTCCTCACCTGTGGGCCCCTCTGGGGGCCCCTCAGCTGGGGGCCCCTCTGGGGGCCCCTCATTTCTTTCTGAAGCTGGGGAGGTGAAGGGGCTGAGTTCATCTAAAGGTGTTTGTTTGGTAGTGCTGAAGTTAGCAGCAAAAGAACAGCCGGTGGCACCCGGGAGAAGACAGGGGGCCCCTACAGTGAAGCAAGGGGGGCCCCCCAGGGGCCCCTGGGGGCCCCCCCCTCCTGTTTGCAGATGCAGCAGAGAAGGTAGCAGAGCGCTCCAATTAGCTGTACCGTAAGGGCATGAAGGGCAATACATCATCGTCATCATTTGCTGCTGCTGCTGCTGCTGCTGCTGCTGCAGCTGCAGCAGATAGTCGCAGCTAGAAAAACCTTGAGGGAAAGCACAGCACCAACGCCCGGGGGGCCCCTCAAGGGGGGCCCCCCCACTGTACCCTATGAAATCCTGCTGCTCTGCTGCACACCGTTGCTGCATTGTCAATGCAGCAGCAGCAGCAGCACAGCCCTGCTGCTGCTGTTGCTGTTGCTGTTGCTGCAGGTGATATTCTTCTTCTTCTTCTGCTGCTCCTGTATAAGAAGCAAAAGGGTAAGGGGGGGCCCCTGTTGGAGGGTACAGAGGGGGCCCCCCGCTACAAATGAAGGGGGGCCCCCCTAAAGAACAGCCGGCAAGGAACGGCCAGTAAGAAGAAGAGACAGAAGAAGAAAACGAAAAACTCTCACCTCTCTTGCACTCTTGCTGCTGCTGCTGCTGCTGCTGCTGCTGTTGCTGCTGTTGCTGCTGCTCTTGCTGCTGCTGTTGCTCTTGCTGCTGCTGCTGCTCTTGCTGCTGCTGCTGTTCCGCTATGCTGCTGCCAGCAGCAACATCTGCAGCAGAGACATCTGCTGCTCGTAGTCGCCTTTCTGTTGGGGGGCCCTCGACAAAATCCTCTGCAGCAGCAAAAGGAGTCCCTGCTCCTGCTTCTGGTTTTGCTGCTGCTGCTGCTGCTGCTGCGGCTGCTGCTGCTGTTGCTGCTGCTGGTGCTGCTGCTGCCCAAGTGCGTCCCCCAGTGTCTCCTCTTCCTTTCAGGTGTCCCTTCGCAGCAGCAGCAGGGGACGTGGAGCGCCAGCACTGGCTTCCTTCGAGCTCCAGCTGCTGCTGCTGCTGTTGCTGCTGCTGCTGTTGCTGTTGCGGCTGCTGCTGCTGCCACGTCCTGCTTCTGCTGCTGATGTGTGTTGTTGCTGCGCACCCCACAGCGCCTTCTTCCGCCCCGCAGCAGCTGTAGGTTAGCTTAGCATTGCTGCAACAGCAGCAGCCGCTGCTTCTGCTGCTGCTGCTGCTACGGTTGCTGCTGCTGCTGCTGCTGCGGTTGCTGCTGCGGTTAGTGCCCTCGCCGGCTGCACTGTTGCTGCTTCTGGGGTTGCTGAAGAAGGAGCAGCAGCTGCTGTTGCTGCAGCAGAGGGTGCCTGGGTGGAAGTAGCACACGGGTGCTGCTGCTGCTGCTGCTGCTGCAGCTGCAGCAGAGGGCCCCGCTGCAGCAGTAGCAGGGTGTACAGGCAGCTCCCCGTTAGGTAGCTGCCTATACAGCTGGGGATCAAAGAGACAGCTGCAGCGCATGCAGCGCTCTGGCCAAGGCAGCAGCAGCAGCCTGAACTCCCTCCGCAGCAATCTCTCTCCGCTTGCGCTGCTGTGGGGCCCCCCTGCTGCTGCTGCTGCCAGCAGAAATGTCTCTTTATCTAGTTCGCCTGTCCTAAGATAATTTAAAACAATAAAAAAAACCTCAGGCAAACAATCAAGCAGCAAGCGGGGGGCCCTCGGCCCTGCAGCCTCCTTAGCTGCTAACACACCTCCTTCCCCCTCTTGCTGCTGCTGCAGCTGCTGCTGCTGCTGCTGCTGCAGCAGCTCCTGCTGCTGCTCCAGCTGCTGCTGCAGTAGGGGACACTTCGCAACGGTCTCCCGTGTCAAATGGAAAAGGCGGGAACCGACCTGAAGCTCCACGAGGCCCTGCTGCAGGCCCCCTGTTGCTGCTGCTGCTGCTGCTGCTGCTGCTGCTGCTGCTGCTGCTGCTGCTTCTGATGCTTCTCCTGCTGCTCCGCCTGCTGCTGCTTCCGGTGCTGCAACGCTGAAGCTCCCGTTAGAAGATGAGGTAACAGAGAAGCGGCTGCTGTAGCTGGTGCTGCGGGTCTTAAGGGCAATGCTACTGCTGCTGCTGCTGCTGCTGCTGCTCTCCAGAGTGTCCCCCCGCCCGTGTTGTTTTAGCTGCAGCAGGTGCTGCTGGTGTTGCTGCTGCTTCCGCAGCTCCAGGCTGCAGTGTGTGATTACGTGCGCCGTCATGTTGAGCTGCAGCAGCAGGACCAGCAGCAGCAGCAGCAGCAGCAGCAGCAGCAGCAGCAGCAGCAGGTGGTAGTTGAGGCCCTAACAAACAAAGGAGACAAAATCTACAAAGGGAGACACAACCAACGAAAGGAGAAGCACAGGACGAAAGAAGCAGCAGCAGTGTTATCTGCTGCTAGCATTATACACACAACAAGCAGCAAGGAGGCCGGTGGAGTACCGGGGTTTGCTGCTGCTGCTGCTGCTGCTGCTGCTGCAGCAACGAAAGAAAAATATTCAATATACACATTCGTACTATACAAATCTCATTCTGTTGTGTCTTGCTTCCTGCTGCTGCTGCTTTCTGCTGCTTGCTGCAGCTGCTGCTGCTGCTGTTGCTGCAGTTGCTGCTGCTGCTACTGGTGCTGCTGCCGTCGCTCCTGCTGCTTCGCTGTGTCTTCCGGGCCCCACATCTTCTGCTGCAGCAGCACATGAAGAAGCAAACAGCAGAAATAATAAATAAAACAACAAACTAAGAATTTTATTTTATATTTATTTAAAAAACAAACAAAAAACTACAGAAGAACCCCCTATAGACACAATCGATACCTCCTTGTCTTGCAGCAGCAGCAGCAGCAGCAGCGACAGCAGCAGCAGCAGCAGCTACAGTTGCGGTATTTGTAGCAGTATTAAAGCTTAATAGATGTATAAATGCATTTTATTTTATTATTATTATTTATATTTTTATTTATTTTTAGTTAAATACTAATAAAGATTATTCTTCGCCCCCCTCGCCGCCTACAGGGCTTCGATATAAATATAAAAAATAAATATATAAATAAATAAATTATATGTAGATAAATAAATATATATATATATATGTATAAATAAATAAATATATATATATATTTTATGTACGCATATAAATATAAATATAAATAT